GAATGAGAAGCCCCGGCCCCTAATTAATCGCTAGTTCGTCTCAGATTTCTAGACGGCGCTGCGATACTCTCTCAGACCGTCAGAATACTTCGTTCCTTTTTCTGTGGTCCTGGATGATCCTGTGCAGGAAGCATCTCCATCACTTCCCCTCCGGCTGGAGCTGGGAGAAGCTCCGGGTGCCTCGACACAGGAGCTCTGAGGATCTTGGTGCGTCTTTAGGCTTGGCTTGTCTAAAGGCCTCAGACCAACAGAGGCCTCCGCAGACGCTCGTATTACTTCCCAGCAAGGCACTGAAAGGTTGAAGCCGAGACACTTGCCCAAACTTCCCTTTCTCACCCCTTGGAGCGCAGTCTGCCAGCAACTCTGCCGAGGTGGTGGATGCCGGCTATGGCCAAGTCGCACTGCACCAGGCGGCAAGCAACCGCTTCGTCAAGATGAGCCATCATGCTCCTTGCTCCAAGCTGTACTGTGATTCGGGGTCAGATGCAGGGGTTTCGGAGAGCGTCAAGCAGTTTTTTGAACACCGTCGATATTCCCCCAAACAATGTGGCACGGACTATGGGATGCCGTAAAGAGAATTCGTCAAGGTATCCACGCAGCGCCCGCGGAAACAAGTTCCGTGGGACGCGGCTCCCGCTGTGATGGTGCACGTGCTCACATCCTTTTTTCAGAGGATACATGGGGTCAGTACCTGGCAAAAGCATGTCGGGAGTCCTCCTGAATCCCACCAGAATATGGGGGAAGCATAGGCGCCATGCTCCTGAATCCCGCCATTACTTGGGGGCGTGGTGGGGAATTTGCCAACATTTGGGGGAAAGCAGTTTGATCGCGCTCCCGAATGCGCCAGTACTGGAGGGAAGCCTGGTGGCCGTGCTCCTGAAGTCAAAGGGATCTATGCTGGCAGTTGTTTCTCGAGAGCTTGTTCTGTGCGCCTGCATTCCAAGGACATGATTCGCTCGCCACATCGCAACTGGAATCAGCTGCTTTCTGTTGGCATGAGCAGTTTGAAGCCAGCGCAGATTCGCTTGGTCAGTTTCCGCGCAATCCCACGGTAAAGAAGCCGAGGCCTGGGGGCTGGGATTCCGAACGCTTCACGGTCGTCGATGCGCACGGCGCGGATCCTTCGGAGTGGTCTTCTTCATGTGGGTCCCAAGCTCGGCCGTGTGTGCCCTGCGCATCTTCAGGCCACGGCCGCGTCGCTTTGCACAACCCTTGGAAGAACCGTGACTGGGCCAAGAGACTTCGAAGAGGGACAGTCGTGTCAGGGTGATTTTGGGGCTCATGGGCTTCATGCAGGACTGTGAAAACTCCTGAATGCAATGACAAGGCTTCATCAAGATGTGCCACAACGGCGATGGTTGCCTCAGCCCTCACCGGGAGCACGGGGATGCCTCAAAGGGGTTTGTCAAGACTAAGTGAGGTGTCTTTTTCTTCTTCCCACTAAGCTGACAACATAGATAGCGCACCGATTTACGGTCCGGTCCTGTCTCATCTTTCAACAATCCGACCAGGACCCGCACTCGCTGCCCCACAATTGGGGATCGCCGAAGCCCCAAACCGTGTCCGTATGTGTACTTGTGCTTGCAGTCTACAGCCGGAGAACGTCACACAACACTGACCAGGTGTGTTTGTGGGGTCGGAGTGCATCAACAGCTCTCTCGACCTGTGAGAAGACGAAGAAGAGAGAGAGAGAGAGAGAGAGAGAGGGAGAGAGAGAGCATCCTTGCGCCACAGCCCTCGCGAAAGAAAGAGAGAGTGCTCGGCTTGTTCCTATGACCTTTCATCCACATCTTTTTCGACAGACCGCGCATCCATGTCTTTTACTGAGCCCCCACAAAGCCCCTAAACAGGGGTGCGCCCTTCGGCGCGGATGCCCCGGAGAACAGAACAGAACACAGAGAGAGAGGCATTCTTGGAGCACACTTTTTCAATAATTCCCTCCGCAACTGTCGGGGGCACTAACCCGCGAGGGTGAGGGGGGCTTGCTCCTCTCACCCCTCGCCCTGGCGAAAGAAAGAAAGCGAGAGAGGTTAGAGGAGCTCCGCCAGGGGTACAAGGAGCCACGCGGAAAGTGAGACGCTGTCAAGCAGACCGAGACAGCCTGGGAGCACCCGCTTTGCGGAGGTGCTTCAGACCCCTGAGAACCCAGGACAAGGACAGGACCAAGAGGGCGCCTAGTGAGATGGAACTGCCCTCCACTCGCCTGGGAGCCTCGGACTACGAAGAGGACGACGAGACGCACAACACCACACCCCCAACACGGGGGGGGGAACCAGCAGGCTCTGGAGAGCCGTCTACCCTTACAGACCAGCCACCACTGCAACCGCAGGAGACCGCACAGGCACAACAAAGCCCCGAACCGGGGACGCCACACACCGCAGCAGAAGCCAGCGACCCACCGCAGACCCTCTACCCAGAGCCGCCACACGTAGCATTTGGAAGGTGGGCACAGCAGTGACGGGAGGACGCAGCTGAAGCGCAGCCGCAGCCAACGCAACAGCCACCGCCAACGAGCTGCTCCAGCCACCAACAGCCCGAAGCCACGACCTTACCCACGGCGCCTCTACAGGCAAGCGGACAGGCCCCGTTGACGGACCCTTCTCCACAGAGCAAGCCGCAGCGACGACAACCACAGCAACCGCAGGCACCACGAGACCCACCAAGACACCCCAGCTTCTTGCCGAAGTCGCTCCAACCCGAGGCAGCCAACACAGAGCCTGAGAGCCTGAACAGCAGGCAACAACCCAACCACACGGCAACGGCAGCTCAGAGCCTCCACAGCAACCAGCAGACACGGTGGACCAAACATGGCACCGACACCCAGGCCAACAACATGGCAGCAGCAGCTCGGGCCCCCAGTCACAACAGCCACCGGCACAAGACACCCGCCGAGACAGGGAGCCAAACATGGCACCAACAGCAAAAGCGCATGACGGCAGCCCACGCGCCAGGAGACCCACAGCAGACCGATACAGACACAACAGCCCCAACAGGGGCACACAGCCCGACGTCACGAAGGACAAGGACCAACGCGCATGGCCCACAGAGAACGGAAGGAATGGATCAAAGAGCAGTTCCGCATACACAGACTCCACAAGCCCAACCTACACACCTGGACGCAAGCGGAGCAACAGCTCCGCAACTACCTTAACAGCAGACCCGACACGAGGCCCACCCCGGCACTGGACATAGTAGCGGTCCTGAGGAACCAGAACGACTGGGTGCAGAATACACCAGCAAGAGGGGCCAAGGCAGACACGGCAGCAGCAGCAGAACACGAGAGGAGGACCGCGACCTTCCAGCAGCAGCGCCAACAGCCACACCAGCAGCAACAACAAGGCTACACGCGACCTCCCCGCGAGCCCGTTGCAACGGGTGACACGATGCACGCGGCAACGACCGCACACCTGGCACATGCGTGTGCGCGAAGCCCCCGCGTGCACTCCAGAGGGGCCATCCGCTTCAGCAAGGGGGACCACGCCCTGATGGTCCTCAGGAGGCACCCGCGCAGCAGGAGGAGGCAGCACACCATGCGGGGGCAGCCGGGACCCAACACCCAGAGCAGGTCGACGTGGCAAACATGTCACCACCAGAGTCCACAGAACAGCAGGAAAGCAGACCAGACAGGCCCCAGGCAGACCCGCAGCAGACCCAGACACAACAGGCACAGCCACCACAACAGCAGCAGCACCAGTCAGCGGGGCAAAACAACACGCCGCACAGAGCGAAGGCACCGCCGCCTCAAGTCCTTGCAGCAGCAGCGGCAGCAGCACAGGGAGAGCGAACGGGCACTACTTCAAGCACAACAAGCACTGGCAGCGCTGCAGCCACCAAGACAAGACGATCCCAAGTCAGAGGCCACCAGCCGCAGTGCCAGCAGCCGCGACCCGCCGCCTCGAGGCCCCTGCCAGGACTGCCCACCACCCCCCAGCCCGCGTGCCACGGCACACGAGCTGCTACAACTGATGGTAGCAATGGTGGCAGTGCTAGAGGACATGGAGGCACCAGTCTCGGTGGAGGACCTCACGACAGACGTGCAGCAAATTCATGGACTCCTACTTGAAGGAGTACAACTCTTTGCAGGGGCACGCAGAGCTCGCGAGTAGGAGTATGCAGACAGAGCGCTCGAAGTCGCGCAGAACCTCCTGGACAGCCTGCGAAGGTGACCGGGTGGGCGCCCGCCTCACGCGATGGACGCGGTCGAGCGGCTACTCTACCTTACGCAGGAAGCGGCCGAACTACGCGAGACAGCTTGGGGGGCACACAACGTACGCGACCTCGACGCTGCGGAGACCGAGACCAAGCTGACACGCTGGCCTACAACGGGGCACCCGACTCGCAGCCTGACCTTCCAGCACCTCAGCCGGAACTACCGCTGCGAGCACTCAAGAAGTTGCGTCACCTGGTTCCCTTCTTACACGGGGAAACCCAAGCCATGGCGACGGACGCTTTGGCAGACCTCTACACCTGGAGACACGTGATGAGGTTGGTGGAGGAGGACCGCCCAACGACAGAGGCACACACTGACGCGCCAGAGCACGACGAACACCGCACTGCGGGCTTCTACCAGAAGGGCACGGACAAGTACTACCTGAAGCAGCGAGGACGCAGAACGGCTGCCCAGAGCAGACGGACACCACCTGGAGCTCACGACCGCGAACCTCAAGGAGTACCAGAGACGACGACAAAACGCGACGAAGCAAACGACGAGGACAAGCTGAACCCGAAAGCAGGCGAAAGTCACTGTGAAGCAACGGCGCCGGAAGCCAAAAGCACTGCATAAGAGGCTGAAACAATGCCGTGGCACCCGCCGCTGCCTCAAGCCCTGTGGGGGGAACGCCTGCGCAGTGGGGGGCACCAACCACAACGAGAAGAAGACCAACTGAGTGAGACCAGTGAAGCTAGCCACAGAAGGAGGCGAGCGCACGCCGGACTTGAGTAGACTGAACGCTTTCGGCAAAGAGGCACACAGTCGTGCAGCCTGCAACGGTGGTAGTCACGGGTGAACAATTGTTTGTTGGTGCCAGGCCTTGCCGAAAGTAGGAACAGGTTCGGGGGAGAGTGGAAGGTCGCAGGTTCTTGAGGGGTTTCAGGCTTCCGTTCGGGATACAGGCAGGGACAAGGGACAAGGCAGGCAAGGGGGGGTACCAGTCACAGAGCGCGAGCGGGGCACCTAACTAACCTTAACCAGGGCACTGTCGTACACACTTGCCTTGCCTCCACGGGGGCACCTGCTCAGCGCACCGCTTTCGCACCAACACTCCGCTGCACAGCTGAGCCCCTCTACCAAAATGGTGGAGAGGGGAGCGCCCCGGCGCGGGCCAGGCGTAGAACCCTGACCTTGACCCCTAAGCAAAACAAAGCCCTGCACCCGCCAAGGCTACAGTAGCAACCCCGACAGCGGACCAACCAGAGGACAGCAGCTCGTCGCCCACTCTACGACCAGCCGGGAACAAAGGAAGCGTAAGCGAAACCAGACCAAGTCAAAGGCACGAGCCTTGCCGGAGGCGCCAAAGTTGATCAAGTACATCCCCCGCAACATACCCTTTTGGGACATCGTGGACTTCCAGAAGCTGGAGACCACCCAGGCACCCCGTTTCAGGGGCGTAGACCCTGGGAAGGCAGGGCCTGCCGCGACGTCGTTTTCTTCCTCGTCAAGTCAAGGCTCGGAGGTGACTCAGAGGAACGGGCGCTCCAGCGCACACCAGGGGCACCCAATGGCTTTGGCAAGGAGACACGATGGGGGCACACTTGAATTCCTTCCGTGAACCTCAGAGTGTTGCGCCCGCAGCAAGCACACCTGCACCTGCAAGTTGGGACTGCCAGCCCGCGGCACCCCTAGCAAAGCAAGACAAAGCAAAAAGGGAGGGCTCGGCCCTAGGCCTTTTGCAAAAAAGAGAGAGAGCGAGAGAGAGAGAGAGAGAGGTGACCATTTTGGCTCAAGTGCTGCAACCTTGGCTTTGGGGGCTTGTTACGCTCCCTGGCTTTGGGGGAGAGGTGTAGGGTTGACCTCAGGCCGTCCACCTGGGCGGAGCCTTTACACCTTTCCTGCAGTGCTTGGGTCTTGCTCACCGCCGCTCCTTTACTCAAGAACCCCAGGGGGTTGCGCATCCTCCCGGGGAGGCCTGCTAGTAGGGGGACGGAGCATACTTTGTCGTTGCGGAACTGCGGGAAAACTTGCTGTCCTACGCCGCCACGCTCTCTCTTCATCAATGGCAAGCTCCCAAGAGGTCCCCGACGACGGGGGACAAAAACAGGCAGAACGGCCTGCTAGACAAGGCAAAGGCATTTGCCGTCTGTGCCGAGAAGCTGGGGGGATCTGCACTCTTGGGTACCGTAAGACTCATGAACGCAGCGATCCACAGTGCAGACTCCATAGCACAGTTCCTCTTCGAAGGAAAGGTCAGGACAAGGCTCCGGGGGGAACGCTGAGCCAAGAGCAAGATGAGCCAGCACCACCGGGAACAACTGAGAAAGCCCTCCAGTCAGGGGGAAAGGGCCCGTCCCGCAGAAGCAAAAAAGCCCGTTGTTTGGATGGCCCAACAATGCGAGCCAAGCTGAGGGAGATCCTCAAGGTACATGTCACATGGAGAAGGAGCGCTGGTCCCCGATGCGGGGGAGACACTATGACGAAGCACTGCAAAGACGCCATGCAGACGCAGAAGAAGACCAGCTTCGGAGGGAACACGCAGACCGAGTACGCAACAAGGAGCTGTACCGAAAGGCGGTCGTGGTCCTTCGCTTCCTGCGCAACCGCGGGGGAAGCCCTAGCAAGTTCCTCGACAAAGTCTCCAGTGATGCAAGATGGATCGACAAGGTCCACGACGCCTGCTGGGAAAGGTGGGGGAACAATCCTCCGAGAGCCGGGGGATCCGAGGACTACTCCGAAGAGATCCTCGAGCTTTCGACTCCCGAATGGCTCGACACTGAGGAGGGGGAAGCACCACCGACTACTCCGTGTCTGTCGTCGTCATCGGGGGAAGACAAAGCTAGTGGAGACATTCTGCTGGGGGAAGACAAGGCTAGTGGAGACATTCTGCTGGGGGAGCCAGTCCCGACTGGCAGCGACACCTCGCTGGGGGCACAAATCCCACTCACGCCAGAGTGGCCCTGGGCCGATGACAGGCCTCTGCTGCCACGACGAAGACCCCGACAGCAGGTGACGGAGAACACACATGAGCGAGGGGAATTTACATCCCACCCGCGAGTCTACAGTGGACGTGTGAAAGAAGCTTGGAAGGTCCACAGCAAGCGTGCTTTTCGTGCCAAGCGCCGTCGTCTACGACAGCAAAACCGAAGGGGAAGATGAGCAGTTCGCGCCCAAACAACCATGCCGTGAAGACTGAGAGCTAAGTGAGTGCGGGGGAAAATTTACAGTGCATTGCAAGGGCTGCGGGGGATTGCTTGGTGTCATTGTCCTTGTTCGGGGGTTTTTCTTTGTGAGGTCGTGACTTCGGTGTGCAGTGCAGAGCGGTCACTGATAATTAACATGAACGCCTTTTCTGTTTGCGGGGAGTCACGAAACGGGGACTGGTCCTCGTCCAGTCCAGGATTGTACTAGTTTGGTTTCCTGACTCCTCTTTCGGCTGGAGCCCCACGCTCAGTGATACCACAGATTTGTAGAGATCGCTGGCTTGACTTGTAAAGGTTCCACTATTGTAAGGGGGAAACCTCTGACCCAATGCACCCCGCGCAGTTCGCAGGTGCAAGTTCATGACCATGAGGGGAAAGCCACTTGCCCTTTTGCCCTTCATGTGATTTTTACATTTCGTGTTTGCAAAAAGGCAAAGCTGACATCCTTGTGCATGTTTCTGCTGAGCATACATGCCCCCTTGTCCGCTATCGCATACTATATGATCGTTATCTTTGGGAGCATTATGTTCGTTCTTCACACCCCTATCCTGCATAAACATAATGCGGGTGGGCCTGTGGCCCGGGGGTCNNNAGAGAGAGAGAGAGAGAGAGGTGAGACAGAGATAGGAAGAACACTGGGGGAAAATGCCCCAAACAGTCTCAAGTCCCGAAGCGTCTTTTCTTTGTTGTGCACCAACAGGGGAACATGAGACTGCAACCATGTTCTAGGTGTCCTTGCACTGGGGAACATGTCCGTTGTCGTTGTACGATTTATCTTGCTTAATTCAAAGCCCCATAACACGTGGGGGGCCCATGTGGCCGAGGGACCTGGCCCGTCCCTTACGCCCAGTGGAAGAAGAGAGATAGGAAGACCATGGAAGACCCGCAGACCCAAAACGGCCCGGAGAGTGTCACCAGGGGGCAAAACCCCACCAATTTCGCATGTGCTACAAGTAGATGCTCTACTATGGGGCCAACACAGCAGTAGTTGGACTGTTTTGCAATCATGGGCACGTGCATGGCATCATGATCCACCATGCAAAGCGGGCGGGGTCAGATGAGGCCACAGGGGCGCGGGGATGAGGAGGGGGTTGTGTCAGGTGTTTTTGTGTTCGGGGTCGGGGGATCACAGCTCGGAAAAGGGGGATCAGACTACGTAGTTCCCTGCCCCAATCAGGAATACCCCAAAGCCGGCCACTAAATAAACAAAGGTGGTCGGGCGGGCCAATGGCCTGCCGGTCGCGCGACCCCTAAGCTCGGCAGAAAGCAAGCGAGAGAGAGAGACCCAACCATTAGGCTGGACAAGCACAAGAAGAAGGTTGACGAGCACAAGTAGAGGGGACCAGACCGAACGGCACAGGCCTTCGCTCGGCCAGGGTGATGCCGCACTTGCCGCACCTCTGCTTCAGCAAACTACCTACGCTCATTCAGATTGTCAAGAGGGGCACTCACCCAAAGACTTATTTAATGGCTAACGCCAGTGCC